CCCCCCCCCCCCCCCCCCCCCCCCCCCCCACACACACACACACTCCCCCAGACACACACCCACATACACACTCACCCAGACACACATACACTGCGTCAGCTCCAACATGCATTCAGTGCTGGATTGCAAGTGGTTAATGTCTCTGCATCAGCGTCTCTTCTGAGCTTCGATCCTAGTTATGTCTCGACATTCCTTTCCACTGATCCAGCCTTCCTTTTGCATTCGGAGGTGGTTCTTACTTACCCGGAGCCCTCTTGCTGGCTTGTGCCTGACCTGACATCTCCAAAGAGGGCGGCTGCAGTGCTGGATCCACACGGGTAGGTTAGCAGGTGCCGACTGGCATCTCCTAAGCCAGGCGGCTGTGCTAAGGAGACGTCTGGAGGTTATGACTGTGCTGCTCCGCTGCCTGACATCCAGTGGGAAACAGCAGGGACATAAAGCTTGAACATCACTGCAGCTCATGTTGCACCAACCACGCAGCCCCGCTGCAGTAGGGGGTGGGGGGGGGGGGGGGGGGGGTGGGGGGGGGGGTGAATGCTGAGAATTACACAGCATTAATAAAACACTCAGCACACAACACTGACCCAGGCTGCTAAAGGCTTCAGGCGCAACTGTAAACCTACCTTACTGAGTATGCCTGGGCTCAGATGCGAGGAATAAGCTCTCCTCATTTTCTCACCCCCCCCCCCCCACTGCAGTTGGAGTGTCTGGAACTGGGAGCGAGTTGTTTAAATCACTTCAGTCTACAGACCCGCCCCCAGAGCTCCTGTTAACTCTTGTTAAGTCGTTCGCTCTAAAAACACAGGAGAATGTTACCTTTGAGCTACAATCACATTTTACCCAATGTTCTTGTTATTTATTTTTCAGCCTGCCTTTGCTAATAATCCCATTACCGAGGTGAGGAATATTAATGCTGGAGTGTTGGAAACATCCCCCAATCCACTGATCAAACACTCCCAGATACAGTATGGACTCTACTAGAGTTTTCTGTACAGGGTCTCACAGCTCTCACTGCTAACACCTCGCCCCTCCCTGGTTGTACTGACAGTCAGTAACCTCCAGGTGAGGCAATGATACTAAAACCCACTACACTGGCAATAGCCAATAACTTGAATGAAAAACCCAGTAAATGAGAGCTGACACCTGAAGGAAACAACCAACAGCATTCTGAGTGAATGCACCCAGTATCAACCCTCCCCTTCCACAACCAGCTACTGGAGTTCATTCGACCAATCTGAGTGCACAGACCAGAGGATCCATCAAAGAAACACATAGCCAGGGGTATAAATCTCAGAGTTTGAAGAATGAGTATAATTGTGATAACCTTCAGCTATAACTCAGGTTGGGGAGAAGCCAGGGATGATGGTACAAAGGGTGGAAGGAGGTGGTCCTGGTGGTGGTGGTGTGAACAGAAGGTGAGATGGAGCCAGTGGCTAGGGGAATGGAGCTTGAAGTGGGGTCCAAAAGAAATTATTTTGTCTTCCCAACATTTAACTGGAGGGAATTTCTGCTCATCGGGTACTGGATGTCAGGTAAGCTGTTTGATAGTTAAGCAACAGTGAGGAGACAGTTGGAGATGAGGTGAACCAACACACAGGAGACTAACAACAGAATAAACTACTTGCAGACTACCTCAGATCTTCTTGCAGATCTCTAAGGGATCACTGATCCTGCAGAGAATCCCTGAACTACACTGTCCCATAAAGTGCACAGCAGGAGGCCCAGCAACATTCCTAGGGCACATGGGTCAGGATGCCCCATGGGATTGTGGGAGCAGGTTTTGTTTCCTTCACTTCCCTTGCCTTCCACCACTTTTCTGCCTCCTCATGAGGATGTTGGAACTCAAAGCTTAACACAGCTTGATGGACAAATTGGCATGATTTTATACAAGTGATAGCAAATTTCTCCCCATCATGATGTCAATGCTGCTGTGCTTCATTGTCCTCTATGGGATCATTAAGCATTTGCAAGTTGAAGAATCAGAACTAGGTGAAAGGAAATGCTTTTCAACCACCTGGGCATAGTGTTCAACACAGCAGAGTTGATTTTACAGAGATTTTGCCCGAACACATGTTCATCCACAGACCCAATTAGGAAGCCGAAAGAGCAGTAAAAGCCACATCATTATTAATGGTCAAAATTTCTGACTGGGAATCTTTCAGTCATGAAATTCACCTGCGAGTTATTTATAGGTAGAAGGTTGAAAGTAGAACTTCTGTTATGCCAACAAACCCTCAGAGCAAACATAATACTTCAGAACCATGAGAGAGTGTGAGAGATCAAGAATGATCACAAGAGGAAACAAAAGAATTGGTCTAATTCCAGGCACAGAGCAAAGATGTGATCAGCTGCTATACCAAGCCAGAGGTTTTGTGTCAGAGACGGGAAATCAGAAAGTGCAGTTCTCAGAAAATCAAAACAGCCATTATTCATACTTCAGTGGCAACATTCAGAAGGAACAGAAAAGCATTGATTTTACTTGAAGCGGTGTGAATAACTGGGTATGGCAACCATAGATTAGGGATAATGAGAACAGAGTTATATCAATTCCCTCTCAGAATGATACTTGGGTTACAGAAATGGATAATCCTTATTTAGCAATAATGCAAATAAAAGAGCAGGTGTCCTGTAAAAGCTCTGATATCTAGCCTTTGGATGTGTGATGGGATTTGGGGAAGATGGTGAACTTAAAGAAATTGTTGGACTTATGTTAATATAAAAGTTCAGAGAAACTTGGGGGTGGGGAGGAAGGGAAATGAAAATGTATATTAGTAATACCTCTGTTGTCAACAATCACGTGCTATCAAAACTCTGAGAAAAGATGATGGAATAATTGTAATAAAACACAAAGACCACTATTCTGTTTATTAATATGCAAATAAGAAAGTTTATCAGAACTCCTGAGAGTCAGACAACAGTCATGCTTAGGTAAAGCACAGACAGAAATGCAATGGACTCAGAGTTAGGACAATACAGTCTAAGAATGTAAATGCTATAGGGTATAATGTAATCCCAACAGCTAAACCTCACAATAGCCAGAAATCTTGAGGACTAATCAGCTAAGGGTTGTGTCTGTGGTGTTAGCTCAATCCATGAGATCAACTATTAAAATGGTGATAAATATGTGCTATGTATAAGATAACGAGCTGTAGAGCTGGAGGAAAGCTGACGTTTCGGGTCTGGACCCTTCTTCAGATGTTAGCTTTCCTGCTCCTCTGATGCTGCCTGGCCTGCTGTGTTCATCTAGCTCTACACCTCGTTATCTATAAATATGTGCTGCCAATTTTCAACTTCCATCTTCAGATTGTTAATTCCAAGTGTTTTCATAGACTAAACTGGTTTTAAAAAAAGGACAAATACTGACTTAAAATTCTTTTAATAATCACTTGACCACAGTTTGAGGTAAGTCCAGGAGACAAAGTGGAAAAAAATGAAGCTATCTACACTGAAATCACCATTTTATCTATCAGTATTAAAAACAGGCAATTGAGTCAGTGTCCCAAAATTTACATCTTCTGCTTCAATTCAAACTTGTAAGATAAGTGGAAATATTGAACATCAAAGGTCGCATGCTGTTGCAAAGACAATGGAGCCAGACTTGTGAACATACAAACAAACCATATTTCAAGAGCTGTTTTTGAGCAGCAGAGCAGAGAGAAGGGCAAATGAATTTGTAACATCAAGACCTAGAAGTTTCCCTTTCTCTCTATCTCTGTCATGTTCTCCCTGTTTTTCTCATCATCTTAGAAAACAGTGTTAACTGAAAAAACAAATTGGGGAAATGAGAATTCACTGAGAACTCAAGATATCTACAAACTTCACCAGTGCTGATGATGCTTGTTACAATTGACTAACCATGGCTTCAGGTTAAATATTTAAAACCACAAGAACTATGAAGACTTTAAAACTGTATCACATTTGTTCTTCTTGTCCGTACCAGACATTATCCTTTTAAAACTGATTACCTATGTTTGTATGTGTGTTTGATGACACCTCTTATAATGTTTTTCTTGGGTTAAAGTTTTTCTTTCACGAAGTTAAGAAAGCCTTGTAATTAGCCCCTAAATTTTGACTTGTACTATGTTTGAACTGAAGCGTAATAGCTGCGTGCTAGAAGGAAATGTTGTGACTGACTGAGAGGGGCTTGAAAAGAGGGAAGTTGATTCACTCCTCCTCACCAAAGCAGCAATATTCTGGCAATAGTATTGATGACCTGTGCTCCAGAACTTGCTGCATCCTGACCAAGCTGTTCCAGCATAGTTATAACACTGGCATCTACCTGACAATGTGGAAAATTGCCCAGGTATGTGCTGCACACAAAAAGCAGGAAAAATCCAATCTGGCCAATTACCTCCCCATCAGTCTACTCTCGATCATCAGGAATATAATGGAAGGGGTTATCAACAGTGTGATCAATAGTGAGCACTTTGTGTGAATTTCAGAGTGTACTTGGAATGTAATCAAAATTTCCAGGGAGTTTTACAAAACTGACTATCTGGAAAAGACTTGTTCCATCAGGCCTATCCCACACATAGGAAAGCTCTAACATCAGGACTCCCTCACTCTCTCTCGTCTCCTTTCTGTCTCTCTGGGATAACAGGACTGTCATATGAGGGGAGACTGTCCAATCTCTGAGACCTAGCACTCTGATCCCCCTTCCACAATTGGATCCTTGACTTCCTGACCCACACACCGCAATCAGTAAGGATTACAACACCTCCTCCATGATAATCTTCAACACCAGTGCCCTGCAAGTCTGCATACTCAGCCCCTTACTATACTCCTTATACACTCACAACTGTGTGGCTAGATTCTGCTAATGAGGTTTGTAAAATCATGACGGGTGTAGATAAGATGAAAAGCAAAGATCTTTTCCCTAGAGTAGAGGAGTTCAAAACTAGAGGGCATAATTTTAAGGCATACGGAGGAAGATTTAAAAGGGATCTGTGGGGCAATTTTTTCACACAGAGGGTTGTTCGTGTGTGGAATGAACTGCCAGAGGAAGTGGTAGATGTGGGTACAGTTACAACATTTAAAAGACATTTGGACAGGTACATGAGTAGGAAAGGTTTGGAGGGATGTGAGCCAAGCATGGGCAAATGGGACTAGTTTAGTTTGGGAAACATGGTTGGCAGGGACAAGTTGGGCCTAAGGGTCTGTTTCCTTGCTGCGTGACTCTATGGTCTAACTGCAGCTACCTCTCTGGAAGGAACAGTGTAAAGTCAAAAAAAATTGAAGACCGACAACTTAAAATTCCTTCAGCCTTCTAAAATGCCCCAAAGTGTTTCACACGGAGATTGTCAATTAGAATTTGGCACTGAGACATAGAGGGGAGATTATGACAGATGGGATAGGTTTTAAGGATCATGGTATCAGAAAAACAGGAGGTAAAGGGAAGGAAGAGGATAGAGGCAATAGGAAAAGAAAAAAAAAGAGGGGAGAAGAGAGTTAAGGA